GCATGTGAGGGAAGCAGGGCACGAACGGGGAGAGGGGCCGTGAGACATGTATTACTGTACGTAAAATAAATGGCTAGCGGGGAGTTTCTGTATAACGCAGCGCTCAGCCCACTGCTCTGACAGCCGGGAGAGTTGAGATGGCGGTGGGTGGGAGGCAGGATCACGAGGCAGGGTTTCTCTCTGTACCTGTGGCTGAGTCACATTGTTGAGCGGCAGAAACCAACACAGCATGTAAAGCAGTTATCCTCCAGTTAAAAAGAAACTAAAAAATACTTTATTGCTAAAAAATACTAACCATCATCTGAGCCTTCAGCGAGTCAGGCTGTTGTGCTGACATCAAAGGTCACTGATTACAGATACCACAACAAATAACAGTATAATGAACAGTCAGAAATGTAATGTTCAAATGAACAGTCAAGAGTCAGGAACTGAGCAAAGGCTGTTGGGAAAATGGCAGGTAGACTTGCTTGATCCAGAGTTACCACAAACGTGCAACTTGTAAAAAAACCGAAAATGCAGTATCTGCAAGGCCCCTTAAAACGAGGTCGGCCTGTACTGCAGAAAGCCAGTGTTTGTACAGAGAAGAAGGTATTACTATCACGGTCACATACGTTTGTTTTCAAAATGCAGAAGATGCCTTTCCCTTAGTGTCATCGTGCCTCAGAGAGCTACCCTGTATTCACAGTAGAATTTCAACACAGAGAAAAATTTAAAGGTAAAAAGATACTTTACACAGACTCAGGAGGGGGAAATTCTTTTGAAAAGTGACTCTGAAGTAGTTGATTTTAACAGGGATTGTAGCTGTGGCTGCTGCTTTAGTGAGTGAAGAGGCCTCTGTGTGATACAAACTTTAGGTATCTTTGTGTTTTTCATAATATGGTCTTTCTAAACTGTCTGGATCTTCCAATTTTATAACTTTTACCCTTATGTTATTTGCCTTTTGACAAATTACTAGTTTATAAATAGTGCCTGGATTAGTTGAGACTAATAAGAAGGTGCTAAAACTCAAATCTGGTTATGACTTGTGAGCTGGTGTGACGGTAGGCTTGGTTATTGCACTTTCGAAGACAGTGAATGCCCTTCTTACTTTTGCTGGCTGCACGGGACCTCTGTCCCAGCTTGCCGAGGGCGCTGCGGCCGGTTCGCTGGGGGTTCGCCAGGAGGCTGAGGGCGACCTGGGCCGCTCTGCCCAGTGTGACCCAGAGCTGCCGACCGGCAGGGACCAGGGCACCCTCAGGAGTGTCCTGCGTCCCCGTTGAGTGTTAGACACTAGCTCCAAATCCATAAATGTTTGAGAAGTGACGCGATGTAGGTGCATCTTTGTTTAAAACGTAATCCCGAGCGGCACTGTGGCCTTCACAGTGCTGTGAGGTGTCTGTGCTTCGTGCAGCCCGGTTGGGTGTTGGTGTTAGCCGACTTCAGTGTGTAAAGTAGATGATGTGTGGTTTGGGGATCTGTTATGTGCTTCCCACTTTTTGGATTGCAGGAGTGTGGGTGATGAAGAGTCAGCTCTCAGTCACAGTGAGCTACAAGCTGCATGGTTTGAGCATGATGCAAGTGAGCCTCACTTCTAGTAATTCATTCAGCAGACTCCCCGAGTGTGTCCCCTGTGCCAGGGCTGGCAGCGCTCCAGATTACAAACACGAATAAGGTGTTTGTGTCACAGGGAATGAAGTGCAGTGGGAAAGACAGGCGTGTAGACAGATAATTACACTGCCACGTGATGAATGCAAAGTAGGTACCCGCATGATGCTATGGAAACGCTGGAGAAGGAATGCTTAATTTTGTCAGTCAATTAGTTGTCAAGGAAACAGACCAAACAGTGTGAATCCAGTTTGTGTCCAAAGGGAAATTTTTATGAGTGTCAGGGAAGTGTGCTTGGATAGCCTTTCTAGAGATATTGTTTTCCAGTGCAGCTTACACTGCAGGAAAGAAAAAACCTGTTGCCAGAAATGTGGACATTGAATGGAGTGACCTTTATTATATTATATTGGCTATAGTGTGATATATGGTGCTGTAAGCCTGGCATGAGCATGCTTCATTCACCAGCAGTGAGGTTCATGCTGGAATGGCCACATCTGATTGAGTCTATGGATTGTTTATTAACACAATTTTAGATAGTGATTTCAACCAGATTCTTCAGATCTTTGAACAGAGCTGAGAAACATCAGAACTAATATTTTTATATTTTTTAATTGAAGGATAATTGCTTTTAGACTTTTCTTGTTTTTTGTCAAGCATCAACATGGATCACCCATAGGTGTACATATGTCCCTCCGTCTTGAACCCCCCTCCCATCTCCCTCCCATCCCACCCCTATAGGTTGATGCAGAGCCTCCGTTTGAGTTCCCTGAATCATACATCAGATTCCCATTGGCTGTCTATTTCACATGCGGTAATGTAAGTTTCCACTTTACTCCCTCCATACGTCTCACCTTCTCCTCCCCTCCCCCCATGCCCATAGATCTGTTCTCTATGTCTGTTTCTCCACTGCTGCCCTGAAAAGAAATTCCTCAGTACCATCTTTCTAGATTCCGTATATGTGCGTTAGTAAAAGGTATTTATCTTTCTTTCTGACTTACTTCACTCTGAATAATAGGCTCTAGGTTCATCCATTAAGTCATCAGAACTGACTCAGATGTGTTCCTTTTTATGGCTGAGTAATATTCCATTGTGTGTATGAACCACAGCTTCTTTATCCATTCATCTGTCAATGGATGTCTAGGTTGCTTCCATGTTCTAACTCTGGTAAATAGTGCGGCAGTGAACATTGGGTTACATGTGTCTTTTTCAGTTTAGGTTTCCTCAGGGTATGTGCCTGGGAGCGGGATTGCTGGGCCACATGGTGGTTTTATTCCTAGTTTTTTAAGGAATCTCCATACTGTCTTCCATAGTGGTTATATCAGTTTATATTCCCACCAGCAGTGCAAGAGGGTTCCCTTTTGTCCACACGTTCTCTAGCATTTATTGTTTGTAGACTTTTTGATGTTGATCATTCTAACTTGTGTGAGGTGGTATCTCATTGTGTTTTTGGTTTTCATTTCTCTGATAATGAGTGATGTTGAGCATCTTTTCATGTGTTTAGTAGCCATTTGCAATTCTTCTTTGGAGAAATGTCTGTTGAGGTCTTTTTTCCACTTTTTGATTGGGTTGTTTAATATGTTTATTTTTAATGTTAGTTTTCCTGGTCACCTTCAAATGGAGATTCTGATGAAGGAAAAATCAGTTAAAAGGCAAATCATAATAGGAAAAACAAAGAACAAGCAAATTAATAAATTAGCCTATCATTTGCCTCCTAATAATTTTTAACTTTTTAAAGATAAGTTAGTTGCTAATTTTGGTATTACATTAGCAGTAAATTTCCCATTGTTGATAAATGTTACTGATTATTATTGAACATGAGAAATAGAATATTTGATAAATTGCAACTATCTATTTTGGATACATTACTTTTAAAAGTGTGTTTTCAATAGATAATAGAAACATATGGTACAAAATTCAGAAGTACAAAGAAGCTTAAAGTGAAAAGTGAGTTGTCTTCTGGTCATGCATTGCCTTCCTCAGAGGCAACCTCTGGAGCTGGTTTTCTCTGTGTTTCACTTGGAAGCCAGTAAAGTGTGTGTGTGTGTGGTGTGTGTCGTTTTCTCTGCCGCTCATATATAAGCCAGTAAAGTGTGTGTGTGTAGTTTTGTCTGTATTTCATATATAAGCCATTGACATGTGTGTGTGTTATGTCCATGAGGCAGCCTCTGCGACAGCTCTGAGGGACTGGTGCAAAGAGCCAAGATACATGGGAGTTTTTGTGATGAAAACCAGGTTGTCAGAACATCCCAAGATTACTGTTGACTAGAGAAAACCAGACCCCTCAAATTAAGGAACGCAGTGCTTCCCTGCGTGTGGAGAGCGAGTGTCTGCGCTCCCATCCTGAGCCCCTGCAGGCGCATGTTGGGGCGGGGCCCTCAGGGCTGAGGGCTCGGCAGTGGGCAGCAGCCCACCGTGTCTGCCCGGAGGCCCGGGGGCTCCGCAGGGGGGCGCTGACTGCAGCGGCATGTGTCATTCACAGCACATAGTGTAAGAGGAAACAGTGATGGAACTGCTCACAGCGCGCTTTACCCTGCCTTCCTCATAGAGCAGCCTGTGCTGGAGTTGATTCCATGCTGTTACATGTAGAACTGTTTTACTTTTTAAATAATGGCTTTGTGGCTGTGTAACTAACATAGCGTAATTCGCCATTTAGAGTGTCTGATGTACTGGGTTGAGTGCAGTCACACACTTGTTCCATCATCACTGTGACCCACTTGAGAACATGTATTTTCATCGTCCCAGAAGAAACCCTGGAGCTGTGAGCATTCAGGAGTCCCCATTTCCCTCGGTCGCTGCAGCCTGTCACAGCCTCTCACCTGCCTCCTGGCTGTCCCCAGAAGTGTGCGCTGCTGTGACCGCCGCGCCACCTTACTGCCTGAAGTAGGAGCTGGCGATGTGTTTCATGGGGGCGTGGGAAGCCGTGTAACCTGTGCCCCTCAGTGGGCCCTTGTGCTGCTGCTTCTGATCTTCTCTGGTTCAGCTGCTAACACTGACCGTGCGCGTGCCATCCAGACATCTCATCCTCTGTCGTCCCCTTCTCCTCCCGCCCTCAGTCTTTCCCAGCATCAGGGTCTTTTCTAATGAGTCAGCCCTTCGCATCAGGCGGCCAGAGTATTCAACGAGTGGAAGTGAGGAATTGAATTCTTATTCACGTTTGTATCCATCCACTTACATTGTGCTAAGAGTTGGACCAAATATTTGGTGGTCAAATATTTTAGTGTTGAGTAACTCTTCATTGAATTAAACTGAATAAAAAATAAGGACTTGAATGTTTGATTATTAGCAAAATTCTGTTTCCTAAAACAAGGTTTATTAATGATCTCAAATTAAATTTCCAGCAGTGAATTTTTTTAATTAAGCAAGTGTTTCTTATTGTCTACCCTTTTCGACTAAACAGGCATACGTTTCTCTTTCAGGATTCATTCACACAGACATGACGAAAGACTTGAACGAAGAACATTTAAAGAAGAATATCCCTCTGGGAAGGTTTGGAGACGCCCTTGACGTGGCCCAGGCGGTCTTGTTTCTTTTAGAGTCTCCATATGTGACAGGGCACGTCTTGGTGGTGGATGGTGGCCTGCAGCTCACCATGTAGCCGACTCCTGTCACTGTTGTTGGAGTCGCGGGCAGTCTGTGTTATAGCTGTGTTTGCTAATCAAACCTGCTGATGCTCCAGTTGTTGGCTTCTGTCTTCATACAAATATGTCCGTAAAGACAATGTGAGAGCAGCTGTGTTTTCCAGATGACACGTGTCTTCTGGGCAGCATTGGTGTGCAGTCCCTCCTTACAGGGCTACCTCCAGCCCTGGGGGCTTCAGATGTCCCCGCCCCTTATAGAAGAGTGTCCATGTGTCTGTGTCACCTCTGTATACCGCACATCGTCTCTGTCGTTGTTCCGTCACTCAGTCGTGTCCGACTCTTTGCAGCCCCTCATGCTGTAGCTGGCCAGGCTCCTCTGTCCATGGAATTTTCCCGGCAAGAGCACTGGAGTGGGTTGCCATTTCCTTTTCCAAGGATCTTCCTGACCCAGGGATCGAACCCTTGTCTCCTCAGCCTCCTGCATTGGGAGGTGGATTCCTTACCGCTGTGCACCAGGGAAGCCCGAATCTAAATCATCCTTAGATTACATATAATGCCCAGCACAGTGTAAATGCTGTGTAAATAATTGAAACACAGTGAAAATGCTATGTAAATAGTTGATTTTTGGAACTTTCAAAAACATACTTAGAAATTTAAAAACTTTAAAAAATATATTTTCTATCCATAGTTGGTTGAACCCGTGGATGTAGAAGCCAGATGCAGAGGGCCAAGTGTCTAGACATTTTGCAAGTAATGAAAACAGATGTTGTCTTAATTTATGCATTTTGTTACAAAAGTAGAAAAAAATTACATGATCTGATTGTCATTAGATACTTCATTGTGATCGCTTACGGTGAACGGTGTTGGATTCGTGATCTCTGAAGAAGAAGATTTAACTTTGGGACCAGGGAGCTGGGTTGATCCCTCAAGAGCTTTTGTGTAGCAGAGTTTTATTAAAGTGGAAAGGGACTGAGAAAGCTTCTGACACAGACATCAGAAGGGAGCGGAGAGTGCCCCCTCACTAATGTTAGCAAGGGAGTTATGTACTTTGTAATTAATTATTACAATACGTCAAAAGAATGTCTCAAGTTTGTGAAAATTTTACCAGACCCACTCCCACAATTTACATTTTAGGATAACGGGATTAGAATTTAACAATAGAAAGATTCTACCAGTCCCACTCCCATAATGTACATTATAAGATACCAGGATTAGGAAAGGAAGGAGAAACTGTCCTCACTCAGGATACATTGTTGTTATATAATCCTTAGAACAGAGTTTAAACTGAGTTGTTTGTTGTGTCATCATCAGTTCTGGGCTTAAGGAAAATAATGTTTTATGTGACTAAGACTGAGGAATGTAGAGAGAAAATTTTTGTCCTTTCCTCCTCCTTGAGAACCCCAGACCTCTCTCTCCGTGGAGACCCCTGGACTTCTTACCAACCTGCCTAGGCATTGGCTCTCTCAGCTGTATTGGGCCAAATACTCTAGAAGTTAGTGTGGCAGGCCAAGACAGGCGCACCGAACCTGGAGGACTCGAAGGGCGCCAGGCAGCTGCCTTCGCAAGCCTGCTGGGGCTGACCAGTGTAGCCCTCTGCCCGTCCCCTGAATAGTCAGCTGTCACACAGGCTGAGAAGGACAGTCAGACACGGACCTGACTGTGGAGTCTGGGATTTTTGAGTGGCACTGCACCTCTGTGAGCCGCTGGGTACAACAGACCACACTGGACAGAGGAGTCTGGTGGGTACAGTCCGTGGGGCCGGAACTGGACGCAGCTGAGCGACTGAACAGCAAGTGTGGGCGGCTGATGTGTCCTGTGGAAATCTCAGGGGTGCTGTGGTTAACCCTTGGTTTTAGTACCTGGTCCAGCTGTGAGTTGCATAGACCTCATCAGCTTAGGATGTGGAACTGGTGCTTCTTGGGTTGTGGTTTTTTTTAAAATTCCTCAAAACTCTCAATTTAGCTGGCTTCTTAAAAACAGCATAAGAAATAGTGACATTTTAAAAATTAAGAATTTTTGCATTAATGAATATAATGATTCTTATGTGAAATTTTAGAATAATAATAATTGTGAACAATCATTAGTAAATATGCAGTAACTGTGAGTGCAGTGTCTTTACAAGGAGCAGGTAAAGCATTAGTCTTGAATGAAAATAGTTGTCTGAGATTAGAAATGATGAAAATTGTGTGAAAACATCAGATGATACCTATTTTGCATTGATCTCTTTTGTGAGAATAGCATGATAATTTTAAATATCACTGGGTTCATGTTGGTTTTTTATTATCATTTCAAATGTTTTAAATATTTATTGCATTTTAAAAATAATCATTTACAGTTTTATCGGAGCTGAACATGACTTTATGTAAACATATTAATTTTACATTGAAAGTTGGTACAAAAGTATGAATAGGATATATGACATAAATGCAGACTGATAAAAATAAAAATAATAAAGTCAAATCTGTGTTCTAAATCAAGATTCGTGATTCCTTTAAAATTCTTTAAAACTGATCCTCAAAATAGTCTTTACTTGGTGAAGTCTATTCAGGAGGTAAACAGGTCAGAAGTTTCTGTTATCAGCCAGGCTGCCTGCTGAGTGTAGACGTGGCAGTCGAGTGCAGAACAGTGGGTGGGGAAGCAGCAGGCGGTGGTTTCCAGCTCCGCAGACAGGACACGCCTTGCCAGCGCCTTGCCGGGGCCGGCTCCCCTCTGGCTCCTCATGAGGCCGCCTTGGCTGGTGGTCAGGAAGGAAGCAGGTACCACTTGAAATAATGACACTGAGGTGTGAGTTACAGGTGGACGTAACGTTCAGTTGTGTGTGGAGAAATGAGCCCTTTTACACTGTCCACCGCTCCCGCCGACGTGACTGGTGGAGGGTGGAGTGAGGCTGTGAACAGGCACGGTGAGCCTCGGCCCTAGGCGCTCCGGCCAGGTGCTGCAGCCGGGTGGCGGCTGTCAGTCACTGCAGAGGTGCCAGAGCTTCCGTGACTTCTGAACAAGAAAACTCCTGTGCAGGTGTAGTCTGGCGCTTGTGTGCAACAGTCCAGCCTGGATCGAGCGTTTTTCAGAAACTGGTTTATGGTTAAAGCTAGGGTTAACATTTTTGCATGGAAGGTTTTTAAATTTGTGCTTCTATTTTCTTTTTTTCCCCATAGTCAGTTTTATAAGAGGATTTTAAAGTGCTTTCTAGGAGAAAATTGTATGTTATAAACTTGGGGGTGATGATTTACATGAAGATGATTTAATGCGTATGCTTGTGTTATCTGGAATGAAGCGAGATTATTCTAGAATTCGCGTTATGCCTTACATTGTGGAACATTTTCCCAAGTTTTTAAGACAGAAATATGTGTAAGTTGAAAAGTCATACCACAGCCCTAACTTGAAAAACGTATGATACTTAATAATTTTTAAATTCCTTTTATGTAATTACCATCTTTCAGTTACACTGTAAGCGCCAGAGGGCAGAAACCATATTGTTTCCATTCCTTTGGTTAAATAACTCAGTAAATATTGGTTGAATACCTACCAAGTGTCTTGTACTTCTGTGGATTCCTCCGCCTCTCCTGCTCAGCCCTGAGAACGGGGTACGTTTCAGAAGTGCACGGATAAATCCTTACGTGTTTGATGCAGGGTCAGAGGTCATCGGCTTCCCTGGTGGCTCAGCTGGTGAAGAACCCGCCTGCAATGCGGGATAGCTGGGTTCTGTCCCTGGGTTGGGAAGATCCCCTGGAGAAGAGAAAGGCTACTCACTCCAGTATTCTAACCTGGAGAATTTCATGGACTATAGTCCATGGGGTTGCAAAGAGTTGAACATGACTTAGCGACTTTCACGTCACTTCATCGGTCATTACACTATGCTATGTCGATGCAGTGGGGTGGGTCACTGAAATGCATCTTGTTCTCTCAGTACACATCCTGGAATAGTCTGTCACTCAGCTTCCCTTCTGTATGTATCTCTGATGCTTACTTTCCATTCCTAACAATTCAAATGCTAAGCTCATCAACTGTTATCTCTTAGGCAACAGAAATAACCCAGAGTAATTACCACCAATTTAATTTGGAATCCTTGGACTGATAGCCCAAAGGGGAATGGTATTGGTATCAGCTGGAAAAATTTTTTCCCCCCAAATTTTAAAGCCGTTTCAGCATCCTGGTCCTCGTGAATTTTGCTGTGGTAGGGTGGGGTGGAAATGGCAACCTACTCCAGTATTTTGCCTGGAAAATCCCATGGACAGAGAAGCCATGGGTTCACAAAGAGTCGGACACAACTGAGCGACTTCACTTTCACTTTCTTTCTTTAGGGCAGGGTGAGGAAAATGTGGAGATGTTTTTAGGAAATGTTTCCAGTGATTCAAAGTGTTCATTACTTCGGTAAGTTCCGACTGTATACGCGACACTGTAGTCGTGGGAAGTACAGTGGTGGGAAAAACAAAAACAAACCCGGGTTCCCTGGAGCCCACAGACTGATGGGGTTCGGTCGGGGGCAAGCAGACCTTAAGCCCGTACCAGACGGCAAGGCACAGCTGAGGTGAGCACGTCGGGGCAAGAAGCTCCTGTTCACCGCCACTCCTGCTGGGGACTTGTCCTGTTCTGGCAGGTCAAGAGCGGCTCCTCCGGCGGGACGGCTGAACTGAGAGGGAAGCCTTGTTCAGAGGGAGCAGCATGTAGTCAGCTTGGAGGAGAGGGAAGCTGCTGAGACCACCTCGGTAGCAGTGGTTTAGCTGCTCAGTTGTGTCCGACTCGTGCGACCCCATTGACTGTAGCCTGCCAGGCTCTGTCCATGGGATTCTCTAGGCAAGACTACCAGAGTGGGTTGCCATGCCCTTCTCCAGAGACCACCTTCAGTTCAGTTCAGTTCAGTTCAGTTGCTCAGTTGTGTCCGACTCTGCGACCCCATGAATCGCAGCACGTCAGGCCTCCCTGTCCATCACCAACTCCCGGAGTTCACTCAAACTCATGTCCATCGAGTCGGTGATGCCATCCAGCCATCTCATCCTCTGTCGTCCCCTTCTCCTCCTGCCCCCAATCCCTCCCAGCATCAAGGTCTTTTCCAATGAGTCAACTCTTTGCATGAGATGGCCAAAGTATTGGAGTTTCAGCTTCAGCATCAGTCCTTCCAATGAACACCCAGGACTTATCTCCTTTAGGATGGACTGGTTGGATCTCCTTGCAGTCCAAGAGACTCTCAGGAGTCTTCTCCAACACCATAGTTCAAAAGTATCAATTTTTCGGCATTCAGCTTTCTTCACAGTCCAACTCTCACATCCACACATGACCACTGGAAAAACCATAGCCTTGACTAGACGGACCTTTGTTGGCAAAGTAATGTCTCTGCTTTTTAATATGCTGTCTAGGTTGGTCATAACTTTCCTTCCAAAGAGTAAGCGTCTTTTAATTTCATGGCTGCAGTCACCATCTGCAGTGATTTTTGGACCACCTTAAGCAGCTGAATTGAGATCATGCAAGTAGCTAAGAGGAGACCTCAAGTGCGCACGCGTTAGGAACGTCCAGGAGGGTGTTGGGAAGAACACCACACACAGCTCATCTATGCATAAATGGTAATGAAGGCATGAAGAGTGTGCCCAGGAGAGGGGGTCACAGTGAGGAACTAACGCTGACAACCGCCTATCCGTGTAGCACCTGATACAGGCCACGAGCCCCATGCAGTTCTTGGCTCGGGAGGTGGGGCCTGTGGGGGCCTGGTGAGCCACTTGCAGTTCACAAGGGAGGCGGGGCCTGGGGGTGGAGCCAGGCAAACCCCAAGATGTTCTCCGCCAGGGAGGCAGGGCCTGGAAGGGGTTGGGGGGAAGGCCAGGCAAGACACGTGATGTTCTCCACAAGGGAGGTGGGGCCTGGGGGAGCCAGGGGAGTCCAAGGAAGCACCTGAGACTAGCTAGTGGATAGGAGTGATGGGTCAGGATGCCCTGGTTGAGGGAAGGTTTTCTGGAAGGAAGGCATTCTGAGTATCATTTCTGCTGGATACAGTGAGTTGCAAAAAAAAGAGCTAGTAATCCTAAAAGATGATGCTGTTAAAGTGCTGCACTCAATATGCCAGCAAATTTGGAAAACTCAGCAGTGGCCACAGGATTGGAAAAGGTCAGTTTTCATTCCAATACCAAAGAAAGGCAATGCCAAAGAATGTTCAGACTACCACACAATTGCACTCATCTCACAGGCTAGCAAAGTAATGTTTAAAATTCTCCAAGCCAGTATTCAACAGTACATGAATTGTGAACTGCCAGATGTTCAAGCTGGTTTTAGAAAAGGCAGAGGAACCAGAGATCAAATTGCCAACATCTGTTGGGTCATTGGAAAAGCAAGAGAATTCCAGAAAAACATCTGCTTTATTAACTACACCAAAGCCTTTGGTTGTGTAGATCACAATAAACTGGAAAATTTTGAAAGAGATGGGAATACCACACCACCTGACCTGCCTCCTGAGATATCTGTATGCAGGTCAAGAAACAACAGTTAGAACCAGAACAACAGACTGGTTCCACATTGGGAAAGGAGTACTCAAGGTCGTATATTGTCACCCTGCTTATTTAACTTATATGCAGAGGACAACATGAGAAGTGCTGGGCGGGATGAAGCACAAGCTGGAATCAAGATTGCGGGAGAAATATCAATAACCTCAGATGTGCAGAGGACACCACCCATATGGCAGAAAGTGAAGAACTAAGGAGCCTCTTGATGAAAGTGAAAGAGGAGAGTGAAAAAGTGTGCTTAATATTAAACATTCAAAAAAGGAAGACCGTGACATCCGGTCCCATCACTTCATGGCAAATAAAAGGGGAAACAGTGGAAAAAGTGACAGACTTTATTTTGGGGGGCTCCAAAATCACTGCAGATGGTGATTGCACCCATGAAATTAAAAGCTGCTTGCTCCTTGGAAAAAAAGCTGTGACCAACCTAGACAGCATATTAAAAAGCAGAAACCTTAACTTTGCCGACCAAGGTCCATCTAGTCAAAGCTATGGTTTTTCCAGTGGTCATGTATGGATGTGAGAGTTGGACTATAAAGAAAGCTGAGTGCCAAATAATTGATGCTTTTGAACTGTGGTGTTGGAGACGACTCCTGAGAGTTCCTTGGACTGCAAGGTGATCCAACCAGTCCATCCCAGGGGAGATCAGTCCTGAATATTCGTTGGAAGGACTGATGCTGAAGCTGAAACTACAGTACTTTGGCTCCTGATGTGAAGAACTGACTCATAGAAAAAGACCCTGATGCTGGGAAAGATTGAAGGCGGGAAAAGAAGAGAACGATGGACGATGAGATGGTTAGATGGCATCATCAACTCAATGGACATGAGTTTGAACAAGCTCCCGGAGTTGATGATGGACAGGGAAGCCTGGCGTGCTGCAGTCCATGAGGTCACAGAGTCGGCTATGACTGAGGGACTGAACTGAGTGATGCAGGAGTCTTTGAATCCTTGAACAAGAGTGAATTTGTGAGCTGGTGGGTTCAGCAGGCAAAGCTTGTGAGGGAAGAAATTAAATTTGGGACTTTATCTCACATTACAAACCTCAGTTCCCTGTGGGAAAAAGCCCTAAATGTCCACATGTTTAGCAGAAAGTGCAGTTGAGCCCAGGACACTGCGGGCGTTTGTCCCCATGGAGCTGTGTCCCCAGGTCCTCCCACCATGGCCGATGGCCCTGAGCACTTACTCCTGGACAGCCTATGAACAGACGGCATCTGGAGGCTCAGACCTGTGCCGTTCGAGGCTCACCTGTCCACTGGTGGACACTTTTCAGACCCTGCAATGTTGCAGGAGTTCTTAAACACAAAAAGAAAGGGTTGGTTAAACTGTGTTAACATTAAGACCCTCCTCTGTTATAGCAAAACACCTTAAAAATAGTTTTTTAAAAAAAAAGGCTGATTACAGAGAGGATTTTATGCAACACAGATAACTTATGAAGAATATCCAATGAACGACAAGTCATAATAACACAGTGGGAAAACAGACAAAAGATACAAAATGGGAATTTTACAGAAAAGGCAACATAGCCAACAGGTATTGAACATTAAGTTCAAACCAATTAGCGGTATGCAAATCAAGACTATGCTCAGAGTTCACTTGACATTCAAGTGGCAAAAATAATCCCTGATCTTTAAGGGATTCATATTAAAATTTGAGAAACCCTGCTCCATATCACTGGAATTATCAGACTTTTTTCTGAACATCGAATGATCTTTTAACATTGCAGCTCCTGACTCAGCAGATCTGCACGGAGTCTGTGAAGCTACATTTCTAATAAATTTCTAAGTTGATGCTGATGGTCTATGGACCACAGTTCCACTCGCCAAGTTGTGAAGGCTGTAGACCAACAGGGTCTGTTAAATGTCACATTGCTGTTGGGAGTATAAACTGGGACATTTGGGAACATGGGTAGGTAACCTGTAAAGTGAGGACGTAACCCTACTGTTAACCAGTCAATTCTTGTACTTGTGCACCAGGAGATGTGTATGTAGCAGAACCTGGCAGGTCTCTACCCAGATTTCCTTGGAACTCTTGCCATTTTTT